CACTAGACCATCGAGGACTTGCTTGTGAGAGAATTACAAGATGGCGTACATCAGATGTGGGACAGACGCTGCGCTACAGGGGCGATGCTGAGGCGTCATCCTCAAGTGCAGTGCTGCCTCTCTGCTGCAGACCTGAAGGACCCGGCAACGAAGCGCTTGAGTTGTGTCAGTGCAAGACAACCGACTTCTACCTCTCCTCATCCATCCCGCTCAATGCTGCAACTCGAGCCTCTTTCCCGGCTGCCACTCCCTGCATACCTGGTCGATGTTGTTCAGGTACTTGAGCTCGATGACAAGATTGCGCGCTGCTTCGAGGTCGGGAGGTGAGGAGGAGAAGGCGGACGAGAGGGAGGCGATGACGGATTTGGTCGATTCTGTGTTGACGGAGCGTGACACCAGTCGATACTGTCAGCTCAGGAGAGACTGCAGTGACGTATGAGCGCTGTGCGCACCTTGATTCCGCTCACGCAGGGCAACAACAGCCTCCTCCGTCTCTGCCTCCTCCAGCTCTTCGCGCGTCTCCATGATTGTCATGAGCAGTTCTGGGTCCGTCACCGGGTCGGCCTCGCCGATAGTCACGTCGTGGAGGGATAGCTGACCGAGTGAAGCGTGGTTAAGACGAAGAGCGAGAACGCAAGGTCAGCGCTCCTGCCAAGTCAAGCACGAACTCCACCCGGGCGCACCAGATACTCCCCCCGCTCCCGCTCGTTCGTCAACGCCTTGTACGCATCGTTCACCCGCCCGCTCCACGCCTTTGCCCAGTCCTCGACCTCTCCCTTTCCAGAGAACACGTCTGGGTGGACCTTCTGCTGCATCTGGAGGAACGTCCGCTTGAGCGCCTTGGTGTCGATGTCGAAGGTCGGCTCGAGGTCGAACAGGGCAAAGTAGGTTGCGGAAGGCGGGGGAGGCGGGAGGAGGGAGGAGCATTTCGGGCAGACCGGCGTGAGGGTTTGCGGGAGAGGCGTGCCGCACTTTGGGCAGGATCCGCCGGTCGTGTAGACCGTTCGGGAGGCCGTTGTCACTCCTCGCCAGTGCGCCGGACTGGGTTGCACGAGATGCCGGGGTGCTGATGACGGAGGAGAGGGTCGGGGGATGGAGACGGCAGCTCGAGGCAGGGCAGTGGCAGCATGTGCACGTGTGCGTGCAAGCAGATGTCGTGGTACTCGTGCGTGCATCTTTAGCGAGAGCAGCTGGTTGTGGTCGATGGCAGAGCAGTTGCTCTTCATCGCTTCGCCTCTTGCACATCTCACACACCATGCTCCGCTCGCTCGTGGGACAGACACGCACGCTCGCACGACCACGCACACGGTCACTCGCCCACTCTGCCAGCCGCCGCGCCCACCCGTCCACCCGCGTCTGCTCCGACAGTTCCGATGAGCGCATTCACCCTGCCCTCGTCAAGGACCCGCCCGTCGCCAACCCTTCCAGCGCAACAGATCCATGGACGATCAAGACGCCGCCGATGCCAGAGCCGCCCAAGCTCGACCCGAGCATCAAGACGATGGACGACCTCGTCAACTCGCCGCACCCAGAGGGGCGCGATCACGAAGAGACCGAGACGCTGAGGAAGCGCCTTGTGTACGAGAGCAGGAAACGCGGCATCCTCGAGATGGACCTGATCCTGAGCACGTTCGCAAAGGAGCGCCTCCCCGAGATGAACGATCGCCAGCTCCGCGAGTACGACCGGGTGCGTTGCGGCGGTTCTCCCAGCTACTCTCCCTCCTTTCGTGCGCTGACACTCGTCTTGTGCGCAGTTCCTGACGCTGCTCGACTGGACCATCTTCTACTACGTGACGGGCAAGGCCGAAGCGCCCGAACCTTGGAAGTCGTCGCAGGTCCTGCACGAGCTGCGCCACCACTCGGCGAACAAGGGCAAGACGGTGCGACGAATGCCAGACCTCGAGGTCAAGAAGGAATAGAAGGGCATCCCTGCAAGATTGTATTTTTTGCAGCGCCGGCTGGTTCTTGACGTGCGCTTGCTCTTCCTTCGCCGCTTCTGTACCTCGGCCGCTCGCCTTCGTCATCCATGTCCTTCACGCTTTCGACAGCGATACGCCACCAGCAGGGGCGAGCTGGAGCTGTCGCAACGCTTCTCACCGTCGACGCCCTTCATTCCCTTCCCCTTCGCGACAGGATGGACCGCTATCCACTTGCGCTTGGCAGGCTGTCTCGCTTAACAACGCTGAGCTCGTCAGGCTGCATGAATGACGGCAATATGCGCGGCATACAGGCTGGGCCTGCACAGAGTCAAATTCTTCCTCAACTTACCTTTCCTCCGCCGCTTGCGGATTTCCCTGCTGCTGTGGCTACCAGTCATGGCTCGAGCGTCCGCGCCCGCAGCCACCGAGGCGTCGAAGCTCGCCTCGTACAACAAGAAGTCGACCATCTCTTCTCGCGAGATCCAGACCTCCGTCCGCCTCATCCTCCCCGGCGAGCTCTCGAAGCACGCGATTTCGGAGGGCACCAAGGCTGTCACCAAGTTCTCGTCGACCAAGTAAGGGAGAGGAGCGCGGTGGAGAGGAGGAGGAGGGAGGGGAGTTGTTCGCTTTTCGGTTGCGGTTTACTGTTGTCCTTATTCGTCTCGTCCACTTGACCGTGCGCTGGCGCAGGGGGTACTGCACGCTCGTTGAACGTCACTGTGCTGGCGTCGAGGCGGGCTCGTCGGTGCGATCAAGTGGCACAGACTTCGACAACCTGGAGGCTCTTCCTCCGCTCGCTCCCGCTTCCCTTCGGCCTCTACTGGCTGAGTCGGTGAAACCTTGAGACGTTAGCTCTCTCCTGGTACCCCAAACTGGACCAAGCTCAGTTCAGAGATTTGCGACTCCCTCGTCAGCGACCACCCAGGACGCAAGACCTTCCTCCGCTCACCTTTGCTCGCCCTCACCTCGTTGTCGGACCCACTCAGCGCTCTGACACATGCACAACATCCGCAAAAGCTTTATACAGCAGGACTGGCAGATGTCAAGCTCCTCCCGCTCAAGGACCACTCTCACGGCGCCAGTTCTCGCCGTACTCGCGTCGCTCCTCTCTCGCCTCGCCGCCAACAGCCCAGCACGGCCCACACGTTCTGCGGCTGACTCTGTCTGCTCCACCCGAACTCGTCGCTCGTTCGTCTGCCGACGTTCGACACTTGGCTCCCCCAAACCTTCCGAGGCTTTGCGCATTTGAGCTGCTCGCGACATCCCTGCTGGTTACTCTATCTCTTCGAATGCTCTCCGCTCTGTTGAGGGCGAATCGGCGTGCGGTGCTGGAGAAAGAAGCTCGCGATGCGTCAGTTGGTCCGCTTGCAGGCGCACTCTCCCGCGTGCTTTCCCGCTGAACCTCGGTTGTGGGCCCACAGCCCAGCGCTCAGCTCTCAAAGGCTGAGGTAAGACTAGCAGCGCCAGCCCGGACATGTCACGTCGTCGTTGCGAGACGAAGCGAAGTCGCGAAGGCTTGAAACAGCTGAACGCGACAACCACGTCGTTCCCAGGCTAAGTGATCTCGATCCGCCGTTTCCGTGAGTATTCTTAGTCGGCCGCCAAGGGCTGCGAGATTGGGCGCAACGTTGAGGCCGGCTTTGCGAGCTGCGAAGGTCGAGCGGACTTCGCTCGTCTCAAGGGCGGCCAGCGAAGAAGCGGCACAAAGCTCTTGGTGAGACGCCCAGTCAACCTCTCAACGAACTGAAAGTAGGGCGAACATCGTCGGCGCGAGGTTCCCCATCTGGAGGAAGTCGCACAGCCTTTCCCGCTCGTGAGCAAGTGCGTCTCCTCCGCAGCGCCTCCGGTAGCAAGTTGCTCCTTAGCTGTATGTTGGTTCTAAGGTGAAGACATTTGGCTTGCGGTACAACAGGCAGGACCGATCGACCGAGCGAGCCACGGTGAAGTGCAGCAGCGGAGGAGACGCACAGCTGCAAGGCACAGCAGACCAGCCTCTGTGCGTACTGAGTGACGGTGCCACAGCCTCGAGCAGCAGGAGAGACACACTCGAGAGACGGACGATGCCTTGCGCACAAGAGCGAGGAGTCTTCAGCAGGGATCGAGGCAAGCAAAGCGCTCGAGGTCGAGCGAATGCCGCAGTCTTCAGCCCGGCTAACGCGACCGCCCTCAACCGGCCAGAGCAGAAACAGACCGTCGCAGGACGCGCTGGGCAGGGAAACGAGCAGGAAGGCGCCGACGTAGCGTCTTCTTGCCATCTCCTCCTGATGCCTTGCGCGTTCGTCCGCTCAGGTCGTGTGGCATCAAGTTGCGGCGCAGTAGCCCCTGCGCTGCGAGAAGAGCGCCCGGGAGCGTGCAGAGTGTGCGCGGGAGAGAGGATGGAGCTGTCAACAAGGCGGGCCAAGGTCAAGCCAAGTCGAGCGAGGTGGACAGCCACCAAGTTCCGCAGCAATGAACACAGCGTCCAACGCGCTTCGAGAGCGAGCAAGAGCATCGAGGCCGAAGAGAAAGCAAAGGAGTGAAGCAGCCACTCTCGAGGCAGGCGAATGCGGGCACGGACGGCATTGCACGACGAGGCGGCAAGCGCGAGGTCAAACGGCGAGACGAATAAGAACAACAGTGAACCGCAACCGAAAAGCGAACAACTCCCTTCCCTCCTCCTCCTCTCCAACACGCTCCTCTCCCTTACTTGGTTGGGGGCCATTGTGTGAGTGAGTGTGTGGGTGTCTGAGCGAGTAAGCGGGTGCGAGAGTAGCTTTGCAGAAGTCAAGAGAGCGAGCGAGTCCAAGTCGACGAGGGCGAGCCGCGCCAAACAAGTCCCCCTTGGGTGCGGACGTACGCGTTTTAAAGAATACAACGCGTTCGTATGCTTTAAACATTACAAAGTTCATACGCTAACAACAACATACAACAACCTCTCGTCCTCGCTCTCTTGTCT